TGTGTAGAACAGGTTGGTGAACTCACAGATCTGCCTACCTGTCTCCCAGGTGTTGGAATTAATGGCGTGAGCCAACACACCCAGGTAAATTCTTTTATTATTGAGATCAAGAATCATTGGCAACTTAAGCTTTATGTTAAATCTTAAAAATAATGAAATTAGCAGGGCGTTGGTGGCACAGGCCTTTAATCCCAGCACTCGAGAGGCAGAGGCAGGCAGATCTTTGAGTTTGAGGCCAGCCTGGTCTACAGAGTGAGTTCCAGGAAAGGCACAAAGCTACCGAGAAACCCTGTCTGGCAAAACCAAAAAGAAATTAAACTAGGTTGGGTAGTAGCACTGGTCTATACATTGGTGAAATGGAGGCAGGAAGATCAGTTCAGTGTCATTCTCAGCTAAAATAAGAGCTGCAGGCCAGCCCATTAAATATGAAACTGAAATTTAACAAAAATGTAAGTTATTACCAAAGCCCCTAAATTGTTAGCATTTGTGTTCCAAATTACAGACAAAGCTACTTGGAAACGTGAAACATTGTCAAAGTTAATGTTATAGTTTTGGTACCTGTTACAATTGTACAATGTAACAAGAACGATAAAACTCCATAATCAAACCTGTGCATTATACCTAACATTAGGTCGTGTTGTTTTATTAATACCTAGCAAATCTGTTTTAGCCGGGCACAGTGGCACTTAGACCCAGCACTTGGGAGGGAAAGGCATGTAAATGTCTCGAAAGCTATTGCACAAGTTGGGTTCCAGAACCAGCAGGTCTGAAAACCCAGTGTCAAAAACATCTTTGCACCGTGAAAGTAGTCTTCGTGGATGAACACAAACCAGGAAGTATCGTCTGGATGAAGTACCCTCCAAACCCTTTCAAACCCTAATGGTGCCCAAGTACTACAGCATCTTCTGCGGACAATGGAGTTGGCTCTGAAAAGAGCCTTTTGAGTTTGTCGATGTGCCAATGTGGAAAATGTCTCAAGCCCTCTCCCCACGGATGCGGCGGGCCAGCTGGATGTCCTTGGGCATGATGGTGACCCGCTTGGCGTGGATGGCGCACAGGTTGGTGTCCTCGAACAGACCCACCAGGTAGGCCTCGCTGGCCTCCTGCAGCGCCATCACGGCCGAGCTCTGGAAGCGCAGGTCGGTCTTGAAGTCCTGCGCGATCTCGCGCACCAGGCGCTGGAACGGCAGCTTGCGGATCAGCAGCTCGGTCGACTTCTGGTAGCGCCGGATCTCGCGCAGCGCCACGGTGCCGGGCCGGTAGCGGTGCGGCTTCTTCACGCCGCCGGTGGCCGGGGCGCTCTTGCGGGCGGCCTTGGTGGCCAGCTGCTTGCGCGGGGCCTTGCCGCCGGTGGACTTGCGGGCTGTCTGCTTGGTGCGAGCCATAGTGAAGAAGAAGCGAGGGGAGAAGGCTGCAGGCGCTGGTATTTATACAGGAAACGCGTCGCTCTGATTGGACCTTGGCCAGCAGCTCTCAGGCTTCCGTCGCAATTTGCGGAAGTGCTTCTAGGGCTTGACGATTGGCCGATTCTTGTCGTGCAGTTTTTGATTGCTGCATTCCAAAGGCAAGTCCGCCCCCCTGCGTAATCAGTCCTGAAACCACTGTCTTATACTCCAGCCCGGAAGCTCCTCATTGACGAACGTTACTTCTCTGCTGTTTGGGAACTGGACTTGATGTACAACAAAACATGCTTCAAGAACAAAGTGCCTCGGAATTTTAGTTTAGCCACTTCCCCTAACTCCGCCACTTTTTCTGCCCTAATAGTCTCAGTTGTTATTTCTCGTATACATATTTTGAAATTGCTTATACCGTTTAGCTGGCGGCGATAACCTTATGAGTGAGGCTTTGTTTTCCACCCCCAGGATCTCAGAATCATGCTCAGTTAAAAAAAACCTACCGTTTTACGCCTTAGTGTCGCCACAGAAATCGACAGAAGTGCACTGACATCTTAAAAATGTAAATTTCTTTCGAGATACGTCAGCACAGTCGCTGTTTATTTACAATATGTGTTGGCATGGCGAGAAAGCATCTTCACTCTAAAACCCCGGGAAAGATGGCGGCGCAGTGTTTCAGGTTCTTTGTGACAGCACGACGGTCCCGCATTCGCTTCCGCGGAGATCCGAGGCTCCAGGATAGAGAGAATGCTTGGCTAATGCCCACATTATAGAATTCCTTTTCTTAATTTCAGGTCGAAACCCGATAGTTACAATTTATTTTAAAATTATGATATAGACGTGTAATGGTGATTATAAAAGGAATCCTGAGGGTACAAAATTACAACCTACAGTTTTCAGTCAACCTAGTTGTGCAAAAACAGTCATTTCTTTCAACATTCTCACTAAGCTTTAGAATTTTATTTTCACTCTTTAGTTTACTGACTTCTTAGGTCCAATCAGAGTTTAGATTGATAACTCCTCGTTTACATATTTCTGCATTCTTGCACAGTAACTTTGGAAAGATTCTTAATGCTTTTCAATTTAGTAGCATTGTTGCTCAGTTTACAAGGTCCAAGGCAAAGATCTTCGATTTAACTTTCTAAGCATCTTACCACAGCTAGTGCTCAGAGACCTGTCTGTCTTTAAAGCACACTTTTTTTTTTTTTTGAGCAAGATGGCATGACCTTTGGCAAATCGTAGTTGAGTAGATGTAGTTGAGTAGATGTCAAGGCTTAAAAACTTTGCTATTAAAATGGCCACCAACACATGTTCATGCTAGTCCCAAGGTGAAGATAATATTCCTGGAATGTGATGCAAAATTTTTACAGAGTAATAGATTATTTCCTTTTTTCTTCTAACTCTTCTTTTACTTATCAGATGATGTTTCAATATTATTTAGATAGTATGTTAGCCCACTATATTATTTATTTTGCATGACAGACTTCTTAAAATTCAGTGGCTTTAAAGTGTGCAGATGCGCTGTCTTCTAGTTTCTCTGTGCTGGGTACGGTTCTAGCAGATCTTTGTAGGACTATAGCAAAAATGTAGATCAGGGTTGAGGTTTGCCAGATACTCTACTGGAGCAGGATCATTCTGCACACTCTAAATGAAGTAATGCAGGTGCTGGTCTTATGTTCTGTTTTTTTTAGAGCTGTTGGTGTGGTAGGTGTGGACGAGGACCCTAGAGGGCTAGGAGAAAAATGGGAGACAGCCACAGGCACTGGTTGATGTGTAAGGACTGGCTAGTTTTGTCATATGTTAGGAACTGAGTTAATCTGGGCCCCACCTGCAGCTGGACAATGGAAGAAGGAGGGGTTCATCCCCTCTTGGCCTGCCTGACCTCACCTGTCCTCACACCCATTCCTGGACTGGCATTGGAGCCGACTTCTTTGGGATTCCAGCACACACAGAAGCCCAGCTGAGACACACAGCCCTGTGGGACTGAGTGACGACAGATTCTTGGACTTTCTGTTCACAGTTAGTAACTCTAGCCATTGTTGGATTAGTTGGACTGCAGTTTGTAAGTCATTCCAAGAAACTCCCCTCTTTTTTTCCCCACTCCATAACTTCTGTGACACTAGAGAACCCTAACACAGTGTCTTTCAGAATTTTGATCAATTCAGTTAATCTGAAACCATGAATGTGTGAAGACAAGGGATGAGCCCCAGATATGATATCCCCAGTATATCTTGAGATACTTTTAAATGGTTTTCTGTCCAGCCTTGTATAAAAGTTAGACAGGTGAAATGGAAAAAAAAATCCATTGTGACCTAATTTCCCAATTGTCCAGCTGGGTTCCCTGTGCCAATTATTCTCAAGAGAAAGATACATATCAATATGTCTTACACAGCTTAAGGACCCTCATAAGTGAAGACCCACAGAAGATCTAGTTAGACACTTATGATTTTGACAAAGCTGTGAAATCTGAAAATGAGAAGAAAAGGGATTTGGTAAAGGCTTGTAACTAAGCTTAGAACAGAAGCTGGGATGATTCAGTTCAGATTAGTTCACAGTGCTTTTTATTTGCAATCCATACCTCCTGTGGTAAATGCTGCTTTCCCTGGATTATAGGGAATGCATCTGCTGTGGGCTGGAGGTAAGTGTTGTTTCCTGCTTGGAAGCAGGAAGATACAGGGCAAGGCAAGGTGAGCTTCTTATAGCTGCTGTTTTTTTGTTTTTTTTTTTTTCTTTTCTTTTTCTGTTGGTGTATAGGGGTTTTCCCTGCATGTGTAGTTACACCACTTGCATGCAGTGATCTTGGAGGCCAGAAGAGGGCATCAGATGACTGGGACTGGAATTAGAGATGGCTTTCAGCTTATGGGAACTGTACTGTGTGCTCCTTGGAAAGGCAGTAAGTGGTCCTAAACAGCTGTGGCATCTTCAGCCCCAACAGCTCTTATTTTTTAAGTGTACAAATGTAGCTCTAAAAAACGTGTCCAAATCTCATATTTGGGGCTTGGATGGTCTGCCACTATGTAAAGCCAGACTTAAGGATAAAACTGACTTTCTAAAATTTGAATCATAATTTTTTTCCCTAGTAATAAAATCAGAAAGGCTTTGGCTGAGTCCCTAAAGGATTATGTCTGGCTTGTTCTCTTTCTTGTTTTGGTCTATAAAAAGCAACAAACAAACAAACAAATAAAAAGAACAACAACAACAACAAAAAAACAAACCTTGCTAGATGTGTCGGAGGCCTGTGATCACAGTACTCTGTAGACTGAGGCAGGAGGATCTGGAATTCCAGACAAGCCTGGCCTGCTTAGTGAGGTGATTATGAATGGCTGGGCTGAATAGGTCAACCTGAGCAACTTAGTGAGACCATGGTGAAAAAACAGCCCCACACCCCGGAGATGAACCTTTAATAAGGACCTTAAAGACAGTGACATATAAAAAAATGTATTTGCAGACATTTTAATCGTCAATTAATTATTCTCTAGTATAAGTGCTATAGTCTTGATTGTAGCAGTTTATACACAAAGTAAAATTTAAAAGTTCAGTCTCTAGCAGTTGTAAGGGGAAAAAATGTAACAATTAAATGGGCAGAGGGAAACAAAAAGAAATAAAAGAAAAACCAAAAGAATAAAAATACTACTGGAGCTCAATAATGAGAGGTGGGCCCCAAGACCTAGAGGTACATGATTCAGGAGTCTGGAGAACTCGCAGACAGAGTCAAAGAGCAATGTTTGTTTGTAATTGAGGGGCAGAGGATTTTGGCTCCACCAGACCTAGAAACTGTTTTTCTGGATGAACTGAGTTGAGGAACTGTGGGGTGGGAGATGAGTTGCTAGTTTTTGAAGTCTCAGGGCATTGGGGCTTGTGGTGAGGGTTCCTGCTTTCTGCACAGTAGATTCCAGAATCATGGGCTTGTTTCAGGTCCATGGTTTTTTTTTGGGGGGGGGATCTGGGTGGGTGGGTGAGTGGGTGGGCATGTTCTTTAGCAGCAATTTACCATTTAGATGCTAGAAAATACCATTTTATAAAACAAAGAAATGCACACTCTATTATCTTCCAAACTCACTGTATTATTTATCTCAGGATAAACTTATTTTGTTGTTCTGTTTTTCGAACAACAGCTTTGTGTAGCTTTGTGCCTTTCCTGGAACTTGCTCTGTAGAACAGGCTGGCCTCGAACTCACAGAGATCTGCTTGGCTCTTCCTCTCGCGTGCTGGGATTAAAGGCATGCACCACCACTGCCAGGGCAGGATAAACTCTTCTTTTCCCTTTAAAAACACAAAAGACTTCCTCTCCCTTTGTTTTTTGATACAGATTTGCCCTATTTCCTTAGCTGGCCTTGAACTCCCAGAGGTCTCCTTGTCTCTGCCTGTGATTAAAGGGATTGGGCAACCAAGCCCAATGACTACTTCTTTCTTGAGATGACACAGCTATCATTGTAATTAATTTACCAGAAGTGGTCTCAGTTTCTACAGTCTACAGGGAATCACATTACTCTGTACTGAGGACAAAGGAGCAAAGACATGCTACTAATCCTTAGGACCCCTGGAAGAGAGTCTCAGATGGTAGACTAATTCAGATGATTAGGAGGTCCTGAAATGGGATGTTAAATGCTCTTTGGAATTAGTAGGAACCAGTCTTGGCTGCCTAAGCCAAAGAGCATCTAGTCCTAGCTCTTGAGTGCCTAGACTGTGTCCATGGCCATGCTGGTCTTGTGCTTGGAGTGCTACCTATAGGTGATAGTGTCACAGATAATGCTCTCCAGGAACACATTTGGCACCCCGGGAGGGGAGGTGTCTCCTCATAGATGAGGCTCGAAATGGGCTTGATGATACTGTCCAGAGCTGGACAGTACATGGTGGGCTTGGTGACATTCTTGGATTTTGTTGTGCAGGACTTTTTGGTGGCATTTGGTCCCATGCCCAGGTCAGATTTGGAGAACAGCAGTTACCTAACTGAACACAAAACACTTAAGTGCTGTGACATGCTACCAAACAGGCTCCTTCACAGTAAGTTCGAACTTCCCATTCATAGCTACTTTGCAGATCTTATTGAAAACCAAGCATGTGGGCAGAAGTGAGATTGTGGGCTCCAGAAGCAAACACTTTTTGACCCCGAGCCAAACCTTAATGGCCAGAGTGGAAGGAGACAGACTGTGGGGTATGTTCCTGTTCAATTTTTTAAAAATTAATTTTATATGTATGGGTGTTTTGGTTGCATGCATGTTCACCAGGTACATGCAGTCTGGGTAGAGGACAGAAGAAGGAGTCAAACTCCTGGCAATGGGGTGTAGACAGCTGTATGTCGTTGTTGGGACTATAACCCCAGGTCTCTGGTGGAGCAGTCAGTGTTCTTAATTCTGAGCCATCTCTCCGCCCCCTGCTCCGTTTCCTAATTTCAGTCATCCCTCTTTTAGTGTGTTACAGATTTCTGGTCAGCCCAGCACTGAAACCCTTGTACCCAGCAGGCTAATGTGTATCTTGAACATTTGATTTGCTTAAAGTTTGTGGTTAAGTGTATGAAATGTTATGGTGGTGCGTGTTTGAAATGCATACCTGAAATGCATGGATCCCTGACTTCTCTTTGCAAAATCGTTTGAACGTCTTCAATCAAAGTGACAGGGCTACAGTGTGAAAAAGAACTGAGTCTTGTTGGGTTCCACAGCCTGACTTAGTAAGTACTCTGAAATATGCACCGTGTGTCAATTTGGTTGGAAAACGAAGGGTGGATCCTAACCATACATTTGTTTATCGAGACAGGAAGAGATGTAGCACCAAGGACGTTCATTAACATTGGAATTCTTCAGAAATGGAATGTCAGCAAGATGGGCGTTATCTGACATTGTGGAGTCCTCAGAGAAACAGACACTGAGGCTTTTCCTCCTGGGAGCGCTTTCCTGTGCCTGCACACAGAGTCAGTGGCTTCAAAAGTTTGAGCCCAATTACAGTATTATGAAAAATGGCAGGGATGTGTAGGAAGGGGGAGGAGGCACCTGGACAACTGTGAAGATGTGGACATATGGACACTGACCAGATCTCAATGCTCCCCACTCTGTGGGGAACATCACAATCATAGGAGGATTCAGACATTTTGTAACTGTTTTTTTTTTTTTTTTTTTTTTTTTCTTGTAGATGTGTAGTTTGGACAAAATATCTCAAAACAGGGAAATGTGGAGGACTCTGTTGTACAGTATAGTATGGAAAGGGTAAGACCACAATGGTATTGTAGAGAAATATACTTCCTCATTTTTGTCTTCACTGTTGATACAATCAAACATTGAATTACTTTTTGACTATAGTATTTAATTGGGTAGCAATGCAAGGTATTTGTGATTAATGGCATGGACAGCACTCCAAAGATGAGAGGTGGCAGGCTGCTTCATCAGGTGGGAGTTCTTGCACCCAACCTGAGCAGTTTAGTTGAAACCCATGGAGGCTGCATGGTGGTGGAAGAGAATAGAATCATGTTGTGCTCTGGTCATCATATCATGATCAGCTTTTGTGGGTGGGTACAACACTAAATACATAAACAAAAATGTAACAACAAAACCTGAGAACTTCAAAGACTACTGGCTTATGGACCTTAATTTTGTTTCACTCCAGGTTAGCAACATTTTATCCTTGTTCAAGAAATTCTATACATTTCAGCTTCTGAAATGGTTTGAGGCCTTCAGAGCTTTTATTCCTTTGGTTGATGTACAAGGAACTCCAAGTGATAGAAATGATGCTTAATTATTTATTAATATATTTGCTAATAGATTTGCTTAGGTGAGAGACATTAAGTCACACAAAGTAGAATTTAGCCAAGGGTGCACTACTTCCAAAATACCTCATAGATAAGTAATATGCTAACCAGGCCTATTAGAGATAAGCAAAAGTTACCATAGGATGCTAATATTTGTTCATCAAGATTCACCTCCAATTAGGTTGCTTTCTTTCCCATAACGATACAAGACATTTACAGCCAGCCATCATCCAGCAGCTCTAGGGGGCAGTGCAGAATCACCACGACCATTAAGACCCAGGCTGCTCCTGTGCTCTGATCAGGAAAGCTTAATTCTGCTAGGTGGGCAAGGAGAACACGGGGAATAAATATTTAACCACAACACCTGTGTGCTTCAGAAATAATTCTGACAATAATCTCTGCTCTAAATCTTTCATCTGCCCAAGTAGCCAGACTTGCAGTCTCCTGCCTCTGTTTAAATTGTTCAAAGTGTAGCCTGAGGCAAGGACCTGAAAGAAATCCAAGGATGACAATATGTGAAATGCATAGTTCTAAAGTGTATGTAAGTTAGGAAAATCTTCTATTCATGGCCAGCATTATTAGTCAGAGTTGGCATGTGCCATATATATTAAGGAGGTTTTTTTCCCCTTTAACGATCTCTAAGTGTGAAGAGTGATTTGTCACTGGAAAGGCATAGTAGTATTAATTTTGTTAATTAATTTTAAATTTGAAAACCAATTAAGTAAATATACCCTTTGATTTATATTTTAAAAATAAATTAATTATGAGGTCATCTATGAATTTACTGTACAGGCCTTGAAATGATAAAGAAATATATAGTCGAGGCAAAAAAGAAATAAAAAAATTAGAAAGTAGCCCTGAGGTGGTTGGTGGTGCACACCTTTAATCCCAGCGCTTGGGAGGCAAAGGCAGGCGGATCTCTGAATTTGAAGTTAGCCTGGTCTTCAAAATGAGTTCTAGGACAGCCAGGGCTACTCAGAGAAACTCTGTTTCAGGAAAACCAAAAAACCAAAACCAACCAACCAACCAACCAACCAACCAAACAAACAAACAAAAGATTTTTGTATACAAGGGCTATGGGTAAGGTTAAGACACATTCTCATCCTGAGAATGGTTCACATGTCATCTCAAAAATGTTCTGATACTTTGTGTTGTTTGAGGATTGGGCAGTCTCTGATTAACGATGTGGACAGTCTTACTCAACAAGAGGTGCACATGAGGATCAGGTAGGTAAGGGTGAGGTCTTTTCTTATATGACCTCAATTTTACCCATTTAAAATAATGAATTAAAGAAATATGCCATTGACTTGATTGAAGGCAAAGAGAGGGCTGTGAAGGTTCTGGCCTTTTTATGTTTCTTTTCTGGAAATTGAACGTTAGTTAATCCCCCCACCCCCTTGTTACACTGTTATTGTTTACTTGAGGGAAGGCAGAAAATGCAGCTAGGAAAGCTGATTCTTCATCTGATGTGGGATTCTTGAGGACATCAAGAAAGGGACTCTGGGTACCATGGGGCAGCTGTAAGTTCTGTGGAGGGAAATATTTGACTCTTGGAATTAAGGTAATTGTGGACTATGTTTCCTTGTGTGTCACATGAATGCTTAGGCTAAAAGGCTTGCTGATGGTTTTCAAGAATATTCTAGGGACTCTGTTTTATTTATTTGTTAAGGCTCCCACATCTGTGCATTTAGATTTTCACTTGAAAGATCCTGTTAACGGGGATGGATTTTTTTTTCCATTAAAAAGTACAATTATTTTTGTCTCATAGAATAAAATAAGGCAAAGATTGCAATAGAGGCAGGCCACAGGACTAATAATTTCTGATAAATATTTGCCTGTTTGACCACATTTCAACTCCTCTGCCAATTACACATATACTTGATAATCTATGTTCTCTTGAGCTATTTAGAGCTTTCTAGTGATTTCCTCGGTTAGGAGGTACATGGTAGAAACCTACCCCTTATGTACTCGGAACTTGCCTAATTGTTTGTATTTTACACCTGGATAACCGTCAGAAAGTAAAGGCACAGGTTTGGGTTTGTTGTTGTTGTTGTTGTTGTTGTTTTCTTTGACAAAAGGTGGGCCTTTACTGTGCAGGCTACTGAGGCCTACCTGCTGCATTGGAATTCCATTACAAATTGATTTCCTTTGCTTTTCTTGGAGTTTGCCAGTGATAGCAGTTGTAGATGTTTCAAGGTTTGTGAAGACCGAAGTCCATCATTGCCCACTGATCCCTTTCATAATCAACACCTAGAAACCATTCCACTCACATCTCTGGTCCTGTCAGTATATTAAACCCTCATCTGGGTAAGGTGACTCATGCCCGTATTCCCAGAACAAAGTAGTTTGAACTAGGAGGATTGCTGTGACTTTGAAACTAATCAGGGCTACAAGGTAAGTTCCAGGGCAGCCAGTGATGCTATCAGTGAATGACTGAATGGATGAATGCATGAATAAAATAGATTTGTACATTGGGGTTGGGCAGATGGCTCAGCAGTTAAGAGCACTTGCTGCCCCTCCCGAGGATCTGAGTTGGAATCCAGTACCCAAGTCTGCCTGGCAGTTCAAATGCGTGTGGCACACACATGCTTTCACATAAATAGAAATAAAATAAAGCGAGTATTAAAGAAGCAGCAGCACCTGAACAGTGCTTTGCCATTTCAGACCACAATTTTGAATCCTTACATTTTTAGTCTCAGTCTTTGAACTGACCAACTTTCAGGAGTAATGAAATAGAATTACTCAAGACTGAACAATTAAAACAAAATTTTAAGTCCACTTTTGCTTCAATCAATACTGGCTTTGAGTCCTTTTTTTCCTGAAGACTGATAAAAACCCCAAACCGTCCATTGGCCTTGTGTAGTGGGTCATGCCTTTAATTCCAGCAATAGGGAGGTGGAGGCAGGAGGATGTCAGGGAGGTCGAAGCCAACATAATCTAATTAGTGATAGGACAGACAGAGCTGCCTAGTAAGACCCTGTCTCGAAAACAGACTTCTAAAAACACAGTAATAACCCAAAACCAAACCCTCCAATAAGTTGCTGGCAGAGCTATTCCTCTTTGTTCTTTAATTTTGGTTTAATTATCCCATCTCTGTCAGGACGTCATGAGCACACCACATACCTTAAGTATCACCTTGGCAAATCACAAGTCCAAAGTGTCTTACGCACGCCTCAATAACCTTGGCAGAACCGCACCTCATGGTCCTTTTGGTCATACGTGCTCACATCACATAAAACAGACAATGCTGTTTTTGAGGGTAATCTAACTTGTGAGGAAACCACACCTCCACTGGGGAAGATAGAAGACAATTTTGAAAAGTTAAATTCTCTTGTTATTGAGAATCAACTAGTTAGGATACTAAGTTAAGACCAAAAACGAACACAAACTTCTAAGACTCGATTGTAGCATTCCAGCACTTTCTACTGAAAAGAGTGGGTGGCTCTGAAAAGAGCCTTTGGATTTTAAAAAAAAGCTATGCTCACTGCTCTTATTTCCCCTTGGCCTTGTGGTGGCTCTCGGTCTTCTTGGGCAGCAGCACCGCCTGGATGTTGGGCAGGACGCCGCCCTGCGCGATGGTGACGCGGCCCAGCAGCTTGTTGAGCTCCTCGTCGTTGCGGATGGCCAGCTGCAGGTGGCGCGGGATGATGCGCGTCTTCTTGTTGTCGCGGGCCGCGTTGCCCGCCAGCTCCAGGATCTCGGCCGTCAGGTACTCCAGCACGGCCGCCAGGTAGACCGGGGCGCCGGCGCCCACCCGCTCCGAGTAGTTGCCCTTGCGGAGCAGCCGGTGCACGCGGCCCACGGGGAACTGCAGGCCGGCCCGGGACGAGCGGGTCTTGGCCTTGGCGCGAGCCTTGCCTCCCTGCTTGCCGCGTCCAGACATGTTTAAGAGGATTGTGAAAGCAATATGAAGTTGTCTGCCAGAAACGTGCAAGTTATACTTGCAGGGTAGATTGTAATTCGCGGTTGTCATTGGCTAAAGTAACCTAGAAGACTCAACCAATCAGAAATCAGAGTCAGAGGTCTTATTTTGCATAAAGTGGCATCTTCCCTAACAATTTACCCAATCAAAGCCTGTCAAATTTCGTACCATATTTGCATAGAAGCTCTATAAATAAATGGGGCAATTACACAACTTCTTACTTCTTTCCACTTTGCGACAAGCATTTGTGAAATATGCCTGAGCCTGCGAAGTCCGCTCCCGCCCCGAAGAAGGGCTCCAAGAAGGCCGTGACCAAGGCGCAGAAGAAGGACGGCAAGAAGCGCAAGCGCAGCCGCAAGGAGAGCTACTCGGTGTACGTGTACAAGGTGCTGAAGCAGGTGCACCCCGACACGGGCATCTCGTCCAAGGCCATGGGCATCATGAACTCGTTCGTCAACGACATCTTCGAGCGCATCGCGGGCGAGGCGTCGCGCCTGGCGCACTACAACAAGCGCTCGACCATCACGTCCCGGGAGATCCAGACGGCCGTGCGCCTGCTGCTGCCCGGGGAGCTGGCCAAGCACGCCGTGTCCGAGGGCACCAAGGCCGTCACCAAGTACACCAGCTCCAAGTGAGCGGCGGACCTCACCGTAACCCAAAGGCTCTTTTCAGAGCCACCCACCTTCTCAAAGAGGGAGCTGTGGTCAAACACTTAGTTTACTATACGGTCCAGCTTTCAGTGCGAAGACCGCCCTCACTCATTACCGCAAGGCCTCTTTCATAGCCACTAACATTAACTAATTAAGAACTTGGCTGCTATTGCTTATTGATGCAGTTTGGGATTAGGGAGATGACAATAATCTTATGTCTGATAGAGAAATTACTAGTAAGGAAATTAAAACTTGGAATGAAAATATACTATTATTGGCAGTTCACACTTCAACTCCAGAAGTTGGTCTATACGCCCAGGAACTGAGACTGACTACCGGAAGTGTCTCCAATTAAACATGTAGTGTATTAGTTTTATGGAAGTAGAATTTCCTGAAACTTAAGTTTACCATGCCACACATGATGCACTGATAGGCAGCCTAACTTTAACAAACCACACGACCCATAATTTTAATTAGCTAATATATATAGGTAGGAAACTGCTAGTTGATTAAAATTATCTGGCCGGACAATGGTGCACACGTAGGATGTATTACCTCCCGACCTGGCCAACTTCATATGCACTCC